TTTATTTTTTTTTTTGCAATACAAAAAGTTGATGCAAAACAAATGTTTCCCCCAATATACACACAAAAAAAAAAGAAAAAAAAATATCTATAGAGAAACGGTACTAGTAATTTACAGACATTTCCTTTAACATTAAAACACAACACAATGCAATGCGTAATTTAACATAGGAGTAAAAACACCTGTGAAATGCCAGTGTTCATTTTCTTGACTCTTTTCATTGGATTACTGAAAGTTTATATATTATATATGCTGGGTTCTTTTAACCCAAATTTGGGTCAAATATGGACCGACCCAAACGTTGGGTTAAAAATGTAATTATGAAATTTAACCCAATGACTGAGTTTGTTCATATTTGACCCAAATTTGGGTTAAAACAACCCAACATTTTTAGAGTGTGTGTATATATATACACACAAAATTGATTTAAAATGCAAAATATCTATTTATTTGTGAGCTGGACATTTGCTGAATTAAACATCACAATCAGTGCTGGGTTACTCAAAAAGTTATTAATTACTACCTACTAATTACATCTTCAATAGTGTAATTATATTACAGTTCTGTACTAATTACTATCTAAAAAGTTTTGCATTACTTAATTACTGTCTAAATCCTATATCAACCTCAACCAGCTGAGCAATACAAGGAGAGACATGAAACTGCTCTTTTAATTCTTTCAAATAAATAATATAAAATCGCTTAAATTAATCTTGAAGTGAACAAATTATTTAAAGGGAGGTGGTTGCGTTAAAAACATGCATTTTAACATTAGACATAAAGCAATTGCTTAATACACTCTAAACAATGCTGGGTTGTTTTAACCCAAATTTGGGTCAAATATGGACAAACGCAAATGTTGGGTTAAAAATGTAATTTAAAATTTTAACCCAACTTTAACTGTACATTTTTTTTAATACATTTTTTTAACCCAACTATTGGGTTTGTCCATATTTGACCCAAATTTGGGTTGAAACAACCCTGCATTTTTTAGAGAGTATGAATTACTTGACATCAATGAGGTCTTGTGACAAAAATACCCGGGATTTGCACAATTTGTAAAATTGCATAAAAATGCTGAATGGAGCTCTCTTGAACACATTGGTTAGAAACACTCCTTTATTTGCTATATATTTTATAATATTCTTTGTAAATGTAAATTTGCGAATTGGCTGAAACATTGCTAGTGTTGCATACCATTTAAAATGTTTATCCTTGCATAATGAATCCTGTTAAACCATTTTAAGATATCGTCGGATCGCTCCGCTCAGACCCCGCTGGCCCCGGTTTTCAATTATGTCACGTTTGCACTAATTTACACCTGTGCAACATTTGAATAATGAAGTGTATGGGTAACTGCTAAATGCATTCTTAACTATCTGCAAAGACACGTATCGCAGCGTCTTATGCCCACATTGTTTCTCTTAAGCGTTATGATTAAAATGGAGTAATGGCTCCATTGGAGCTCATTGGTTTGTCAGCGGTGGGTTCCTCGGTGTGCCGTACATCTCTGAACTCCTCACAAGCCGTAATGCCCCATCCGACAGCGTGATGGAGAGCTGGGTGTCATTACCGTGTGTTTAAACAGCCGAGAGAGGCGGCTATCATTTAGTCGAACGAGCTCTCGGTGTGTCTGATGAGATGAGATGGAGAAACCCAGGGAGAGAGAAACACACATTTCAGAGGAATTCATTGACAGCGAATAACGTCACTTAATCAAGTGCGGTGGCACTGTTTACCTCTCTCTCTCTGCGGCCGGTGTGCAGTGTGTGTGTTATATGAAGAAATAATCGCATCTCGGTGGAGAGTCAATATGGGCTCTTTATATTACGTTTATCAGCCTGGCACCAATTTCTGATTGCTTGTTTGGAAACTTTTGCATTGACTTCAAATGCATACACTCTAAACAATGCTGGGTTGTTTCAACCCAAATTTGGGTCAAATATGGACAAACCCAAATGTTGGGTTAAAAATGTAATTAAAAAATGTACAGCTGAAAGTGAAAGTTGAAGTTGGGTTATAATTTTAAATTATATTTTTAACCCAACATTTGGGTTTGTCCATATTTGACCCAAATTTGGGTTAAAACAACCCAGCATTGTTTAGAGTGTACTAACATACTACTTTTACGATTGCTGCCTCATAGAGTGTGTATCTGTGCACAGTGGCAATGAATAACTTGGTGACCTATTACAATTGCCATATTCTGCAATGTCCTACTATATTTTTGGGATATATTATGATATTGTACGCTCTTCCAAATTAGGCCAGAAATACTGTGTATAATAATTCTTCAATTTCCAGTATGTTGAATGAACCGGAAGTGATATCAGCCGTGACTTTTAGCATTTCTTTTCTAGACCGTTATGTGATCAGACTGTGCAAAGGTAAGAGATTTTTGCACTCAAATTTAGAAAATATTAAATATGTTAACTTAAAAATGAGGACATAGCATATTGTGGACTATACATCCTTCAGAATGCAGAATAGCTGGTACTTTATTCTCACTTAAAATTGTTGGGTTAAAAATAAACCAACTACGGGGTGGTATAGCACCCTCCCAACTGTGGGTTATTTTAACCCAATGCATTGGGTTAAACTCTAGTTCGGTTAAATAACCCAGCAGTTGAGTTAAATATTTAAATAGGCTATTTAACCCTACAGTTGGGTTATTTTTAGAAATTACCCAACGATTTAAAAAAATGACCTAATACTTCTTGAAAATAACCCAACAGTTTGGTTAAACAAATAACCCAATGTTTTTTACTGTGATATTACAAAAAGTGGTTAATGATTATTATTTATAACACGCCCATTTCATATGGCGATATTTTTAATGAATTGTTTTTCTTCTAGAGGATTTTCTTCATGCATATATGAAGCGTGTTTTACTTCTAAACAACACTGGGTTGTTTTAACTCAAATGTGGGTCAAATATGGACTGGACAAACCCCAAAAAATTGGGTTAAAAATGGAATTTCACATTTTAACCCAACTTCAACTTTCACTTTCAGCTGTACATTTTTTAATTACATATTTAACACAACTTTTGGGTTTGTCCATACAGTATTTGACCCAAATTTGGGTTGAAACAACCCTACATTTTTTAGTGTAGTGGGTTTCTACCTGATTTCAGATGGTGATATCATATTTTTAATCATCTAAAAAGATGTTTTTCTTCTAGAGGATTTTCTTCATGCATATATGAAGCGTGTTTTACTTCTAAACAATGCTGGGTTGTTTTAACTCAAATGTGGGTCAAATATGGACTGAACAAACCCCAAAAATTGGGTTAAAAATGGAATTTCACATTTTAACCCAACTTCAAGTTTCACTTTCAGTTGTACATTTTTTAATTGCATTTTTAACACAACTTTTGGGTTTGTCCAAATTTGACCCAAATTTGGGTTGATACAACCCTGCATTTTTTAGTGTAGAAGGATTCTACCTGATTTCATATGGTGATATCATATTTTTAATCATCCAAAAATATGTTTTTCTTCTTGAGGATTTTCTTCATGCATACATGAAGTATGTTTTTCTTCTAAACGATACTGGGTTGTTTTAACCCAATTTGGGTCAAATATGGACAAACCCAAATGTTGGGTTAAAAATGGAATTTCAAATTTTAACCCAACTTTTTGCATTTGCATTTTTAACCCAACATTTGGGTTTGTCCATATTGATGTTTTTCTTCTTGAAGATTTTCTTTGTGCATACATGAAGTGTGTTTTTCTTCTAAACAATACTGGGTTGTTTTAATTTAACAGAATTGCCCGTTACACGCAGAATCCACAGAGATATTAATCGTGACCCTGTCAACAAAATGTCTTCAAACCCCATTTTGACTTCCATAATCCGACTGGAGGAAGTTCTCTCTCCGGCTCCCGTGTGGACTCGTGTAGCTATATCGGTGCTGCTTTTCTCTGTGTTGTCCTAGTTGGATGTTCTCTGTGAACTCTGCAGAAACATTTAGTATAATGTCAGTGGGAAACTCAACATTTTCATGTCTTGCATAATTGAAGGCGTTCTGGCTATAGACTGAGAATCATTAAAGTCTGAAGCGCTGTGGTTTGCACGCGCTCCGGATGGCCTCTCGTGTTTAAAGGTTTGCGGGTTGGCGACCCGAGATGAAAGATTGCCCTGGTGAGAAATGAAGGAAAGAGGAATAGAGCAACGTAATGACTTTACTATGCATTCCCCAGGCGCATGCATTTACGGCACGTGTGAATTTTAAAACGTGGCCCATATGTTAATGTTTCCTAATGCAGGAAGTTTAAAGGGGTAGATGCATCGTAATCGCGTGTCGTGAGTTTAGCACAGCCCCATTAATTAGCGCTCTGCCCGTTACACTGGCCGCCAGCTCCAATTAAACCATGTCAGATCACACCGTCTACATTTATAATGGGAATAGCGAAAGCACTTGTTACCGAAATAGCTTCTTGAGTGCAAATGTTTGCATTTAATTCACTTCTGATCTATTTCAGCTTCTGTTGAGCAAAGATTGCTCCTGTTGCGGCGGGTTCAGTTCGTGTAGATCCGCGGGCGGCCCAATAAACTGCTCAAACTGAAGAATCTACTGTGGCTCTGGGAAATAAAATTTTCAATTTGCACAACCATTGGAGAGCTGTTTTCCACACCGTCTCTGGCCCGTCTGAGACATCAGGTGATGTTTTCCAGGCAGTGCTTTTAAATTATGAGAATTTTTCTATTAAATTCAGAAGAGAGGAGTGAAATATACGTAGGCTACTAACTGAGATGTCTGGATAACATCATCATCTAGTTTAATGGGAACAGGACAATGAAGTGCAGCTTTCTACAGTTTCTCAGGAATGATTAACAAGCCTTTTCTCTGTTGAATCTCGTTCGGCTTGGCCTACCTAACCAAGGAAAACGGGAGTTTGGTGTTTTTTGAGAATGTTTATATGCTTTTTCATACTGACTTTCAGTGAATATTGGAGTGGATATATGCATTTAATTGACATGCTTTCTCTTTCCAGGAAAAAGATCAACAGTGGCACACGGGTGTGTGAAGTGAACATGACTTCTATTGCATGAGGTCGACTCGAGGTACGTGTGTTTAGGATCAGTTATCCACTACATGCATACTGTAATCTTTCACTGTTGCCAGACACTCAAAAGTATTGCATTATGAAGGAATATTATTTGTATGCAACATATACATACTACACTTTTCTTTCTTTTTTTTTTTTTTTTTTGCATTAATTTTTCATATTATTGTAGATGTTTTAAAAGAGCATGCTATTATTTTTTATTTATTTCCATTTATTGATTTTCATTTTATTTATATATTTCAATTTTTCAAATTTTTTTTATTTGCATTTATTTTTCATATTATAGTAGATGTTTTAAAAGTGCATGCATGCATTTATTTAGTTTATTTATTTATTTCAATTTATTATTTTTATTTATTTCCATTTTATTTATTTATTTCAATTTTGCAATTTTTTATTTGCATTTATTTATCATATTATAGTAGATGCTTTAAAAGAGCATGCGTGCATTTATTTAGTTTATTTATTTATTTATTTCAATTTATTATTTTTTATTTATTTCCATTTATTGATTTTCATTTTATTTATATATTTCAATTTTTTTAAATTTTATTTGCCTTTATTTTTCACATTATAATAGATGTTTTAAAAGAGCATGCATGCATTTATTTAGTTTATTTATATATTTAAATTTAGTATTTTTATTTATTTCCGTTTATTGAATTTTTTTATTTTATTTATATATTTCATTTTTATTTATTTCCATTTATTTATTTCCTTTTTTCATTTATTTAAATTTTATTTATTTATTTATTTATTTATTTATTTATTTTGGCTGGTGGAATGAATGCATAAATATAATTTTAGTAAATCATAAATCTTTAATTTGTGTCCGTCACAGCTTATGATAGTCATTAATGAAGGCTATTGGCTATCGTTTCATTAGGAAATATATGCAGATGAGTTTATTTTTATAGAATTCTGATCATATTTAACTTCTGGACAGCTTTGTGTTGAGTTTATATTGTTCACCCTGATATGAACATTAACTCACCCTTCAACCTGTTGCTATTTTCTTTCTTCCATCAGAAACAAAACGTGATGTCATGAATGTCTCTTGAACACACAACAGAAGTGGGTTTGATTTATACTATACTTTCAAACATAACAAATAAACAGCATACAAAATGATAAAAGTAGTACGAATGACTCCTCCATTGTCTTATTTCACTAAATCAGATCAACAAATGGAAAACGTTAAATGGCTAAACGAATATCATCCATTATTTTACATGATCTATGGTTTCACTAGTGAGTCATCAAGCTACTTTTAATCCTGAAGCCTGACTTGGCTTGAGTACTTTTAATTAGGCCTAATTAATTCGCTCATTTATTCATTTATTTAGCATCTTGAAGCGAGTGATGATCTTGATTTGCAGTTTACACCACTGCTCTCTAGTGCACTTTAGTTGTAAATGTTAATTCATCGTATACTATCTGATGCGTTGGTCACGAGTTCGACTGATGCTGGAGCACTTTCCACAAAAACACACACTTCGCCCAAAACCCTCGAACGTTTGTTACATAAACTCTCATCTTACATGAAATTAACCCAGCATTAAATCTATCTAGTTTAAACACTAAATGTGTGTACACTCATAAAAGGGAACATTTGGCAATACAAACACACACAAGACACACATACATTACATACACACTTACGCATATTGGGTTTCCATGCACACACACACTCACAGACACACACTCACACAGACAGACTCACACACACAGACAGACACACGCACACACACTCACAGAGACAGACAGACACACAGAGACACACACACACACACACAGAGACACACACACACACTCACAGACAGACTCACAGACACACACACACACACACACACACACAGACACACGCACACACACTCACAGAGACAGACAGACACACAGACACACAGAGACACACACACACTCACAGACACACACACACACACACACACACACAGACAGACAGACACACACACACACACTCACAGAGACAGACAGACAGACAGACAGACACACACACACACACACACACAGAGACACACACACACACACTCACAGACAGACTCACAGACACACACACACACACACACTCTCACAGACTCACAGACAGAGACACACACACTCACAGACACACACACACACACACACACACAGATACACTCACAGACAGACTTACAGACACACACACTCACTCACACACACACACACACACACTCACAGACAGACACACTCACAGACAGACTCACAGACAGACTTACAGACACACACACACACACAGACTCTCACACACACACACACAGACACACACACACACACACACAGACAGACAGACAGACAGACACACACACACACACACACACACAGATATGTGTATATATATATAATTGCAAGTTCAGACTTTTTTTTACTATTAAAATTTTTAATTAGAAAATATTTATAAAAGGAAAGTCACATTAATCTGGGTTTTAATATTATACGTCCTAAAATCTGCTATCAATGTTGCAAATCCCATAAAATGAATAAGAAATTAAACCGTATTTATTGTGAACACTTTTGCACTTTCTTTACTAAATGTGTAAAAAAAAAAAAAAAATAAATAGTGCTTTTTTAAGTGTATATTTTCCCTCAGTCGTCAAGAAACCCACACGAATATCCTCTTGTCGAGGTCTCGGATTGCTCCGTTTAAGAGCACCGTATCTGAAAACGTGGGAAGATCAGCCTTAAAAAAATAAATTAAACGCTCCTCAAATTCACTCTAAATTCTGTCCTCACAACACGGCAGGAAAACGTTGCGAGGACGAAAAAAAAACATCTATTAGTCTAGTAATTGCACTGTGATTAGCAGATGTGAGTGTTTGGCATGGATCAGGCTTTCCTGGAGTTTGGAAGACGAGGAGATTCTGCTGCATCCTGATACAATACAGAAGCTTCCGAACATCCTTCATGTGTCTCTCCACACACACACACACCCACGGGTCTCCTCTCTCATCCATCCCTCCATCCATCCATCCATCCATCCCTCCTTCCTCTGGATCTCGCCCAGCTGGCTTCATTAGACTCCTCACCATCCCAGATCTGCTGCTTTTGTCTGTTGCACATTTTTTGACTGTTTTATCTTAAGCGCTGTCCGTCCCGGAGCCTCATAAATATTTCCCTGGCATTTCTGCATCTGCTCGAACTGGCTGCTAATGAAACCATTCATGTGTCCATTGTATGTTTTGCTTTTTAATTAATCTTTGTCTCCTGCATTTATTATTGTTGTTTGTGATCGTTCGCCGATGTGTGAGGTGAAAGAAAAGAGGTTATAAGATTTATAAATGATTTCAGCGTTTGCTTTTTGTCATTGTTTTCAACTTTAAAACTCTGTAAATGAATATGCTTATTATAGAAAAGCAGGTAGACGCTTATAAATATGTTCTGGTCAATCTTTTGTCCAAATGTTTGGGGTAAATGTAAAGGGGTGGTATAATCAATGCCAAATGTCTGATATCCACAAGTGTGTATGTGAAGTTTTAGCTAAAATACCTCCTTTGTTGTAGCATGTTATAGCAAAAAATGTCACTTTTTAACAGCATCACGCTGTTTTAATGTGTGTCCCTTTAAATGCAAACGAGCTGCTGCTTCCGGCACAGTGGGCGGAGCTTCAAGAGTGTGAGGTGCGCGAGCACTGTGTTAGCAGCTCCGATTACCTCACACAAACACTTGCTAAAAATGTCAAAACTTTTAGGATTTTATGTTCAAACCGGAGTCAAAGATGAAGAAACTCAAGAAGTGACGACATGTTGAAGAAACAGGACGTTTCTGAATGGTTAGTTGATGAATTTGTTGCTGATGTGGAGTTAGCTAATGTTATCTTCTAGTCACTGATTAGCATATTCTTTCATGACAATGTAAGAGAAAATATCTCCATTTGCTTGAAACTTTGAGCGTCGTAACTTTGCAGATGTTGTTTATGCTCAAACAGCAACATTACACACTAACTACAGTTAGAAAAGTTAACTTTTAATCAACCACCCCTTGCTTTATGTCTGTCGTCTTCACATTATATAATAAAACGTCTATCTTTCCCTCATTTACCTTTTATTAATTCTGACTACAATGCAGTTTGTAATACAGATGGTCGAGATGGATGATTGTCACCCATAATCACACGTTTCTACTGTGACATCATCAGGTGTTACTGGTGAGGATGAAGAGTCGCTCCCGATGACGTCATCGCGCCACTACGAGTTCGCCATCGACAGTAAAAGGAGTTCGCTGGAGTCGAAAGGTATGAGCTTTTTTTTTATGTGTATTTATTTAGTTTTTATTTGTTTTTGTTGTTTTTCTTCCTCTCCTTTGTTTTTGTTATCCCTGTTTATTTGTTTAAACATGTTTCAATATGTGATATTTGTCAATATATGTGATATCTGTCATGTGAAGCATTCCTGTTATATACTGTATTTTGTACTTGGATTTATTTCTCAGAACAAAAAAAAAAGTCGAAGAGTCGAAAGGTATTCTTCATTTATCGTTTGCATCGTAATATTACTCAGCTTTTTATATAAATGTCATATTTAAAGAACACAGCATTTTGAACTCCTCAGTTAAACAGCAAATATATATATTATTTCGTTTTTTCATTGCTGTAATATTGTGGGTCAACAAGAAAAAGTTATTTTGTCAATAAGCAGAAATAAACTATGATTAAAAATAGGTTCTGCATATACATAGGCATAAAAGCATTTAACCTAAAAACAATAAACATTGTTCTATAAATATAGCATTAGCAAATGATGACAAAAACAGAGTTAGTGATAGTGTCGATAAACTTAAACTGTAAAAAATATATATATCAGGCATGAAAGAATAGTAATAATTGGTATTGTACTGGTTAAAAAATGTAGTTTATAAGTAATGGAGCAATATCTGTACAGGCCGCTGGGCTGGTTGCCGTGACACCTGACAGTTATGTTGCCTTAGAGAGTGTGTGTGTGTGTGTGTGAGAGAGAGAGACTGTGTGTGAGAAAGAGAGAGAGTGTGTGTGTGTGTTCAGAGAATGGCAGCAGATGGTGTATCTGGTCTCAGGAGAGCAGAACTGGAGCACAGTTTCCACCGCTGGCATGCTCAGCCTCATCCTGACCTCCGTCTCTGAAGTCTCGATCCGTGTGTGTGTGCGACCTAAGGAACGCCACAGATAGATGATGCGTTTATGCAGGAGATTTGACTGATAACAGCAGCAGCATCAGAAGAGCCAAACCAGACGCAGTTTCCTCGTAACGCAGGATTCTGTCATTTCTCAAGCGGCGAACGAGCCAGGCACGCTTGCCAAACGTGGCATAATGCACAACACTTCGGAAGTGTTGTTGTACATCTTTATTTGGCGGATCACACACACACGCGGGTGAGGTGAAGGAACCGGAGTGTGTAAGGTCCTCCGTCGTCGATGCTCGCGTGAGGTTGCTTTGTGAAATGATCTAATCCGATGAGTTATTTATGGCGCGTCATTATTTATTTATCTGATTATTTTGTAAATTATTTATCTATTGAATTATTAATCCATCCTCATGACGAGGCCTGAATTATGCATGACTTAATTTGAGATTATTGCATTCAGATGCACATTGTTGCAGTCACACGTGGAAATTAAATCTCCCTCCCAGGCCTTTTTGTCTTCATTTGACACAGAAGCCGAGACAGGCGTCGGCACGAACGTCAGCCGGTTATCAAAACAAGAGCACTGCATTCATCTTACTGCTCTGACCTTTCACACACCTGATGTGTGTCTGTCTCAATCCCATGCATTATTTGTCAGGGGAGAGGAATGTTTTCACAAGCATCTTCTATTTTGAATCAAAAAGATTAGATTGGTTTCATTGGAAGTGCCATCTTTGTCAGCATGTCAGACCAAGTTATAGACCCTTTACACTATAAACAGCAACATAATCATTTGAGCATTCTGTATCGGGAAAAACTCACCGCTAAATCTGATCCTAGGACAGTTTTGTGTTGATATTGATATTGAATCCTAATGGGTTTTTCCACACTTTTTTTTGTCATTTTAATTTGCAATGTCAAATATATATTATTATTAGGGCTGTCAAACGCCAAAATAAAAGTTTGTGTTTACATAATATATGT